AACTACAGCTTGAGCCAACCGGCCAAGAAAATATAAGAGGCATGCAGACACACACACACACAACCACCCATGCGCGAAGCATCTCAATGACTCGATCTGCTGCTTTTTCCATCTCTAGGACAAGCCTGCAAACAAAATCCACAGGCGTGGCTCCTGTACTATATCTTCTCAGGAGAGCAAACTCTTGGTCGTTTTGTAGATCAGCTTCACTGCTTTCTCGTGCATGCTTGCCTTCTCATTCAATGCCTTCAGCTGGGCAAGCAGATCTGGCACCTCCTGCTGCTTGTCGGTTGGAAAGGGAACGGCCAGCTGCGTCCTCACCTCTGACAAAAAGCCAGACAACTGCTTGTCAGCGTTCTCCAACTCTCCTAGCTTTTTGCCCCAGCTGTTATCCTTCAGGCCAGCGATCTCGGCTGTCAGGAGCTCTAAGTCCTCCAACAGCTTGCTGAGGCGAACCCTCGCAGCTTGCAGGCTCTTTGACTCAGACTTGGCATCAAACAAAGATGCAGACATGCCATGCTCAACTGCAGAAGAACTGGCCAACTCTGGTCGGCCCAGCAAGTCCAAAGCCATCTTTTGGCTTGCCTTTCATGCCCAGTGCTTGACATACTGCTGCTTGTCCTTGCGCCCTCAGTGTTCTTCTTGCCCTTGGTGTAGACAAAAAAGTACTTGTGCAACTGCTTGAACTTTGGGTGGCCAAAGCTCTTCTCAGATTTGGAGAGGATCTCCTCCAAAATCTCATCCTTGTCATTTTCTGACAGGCCGGCTGTGTCAATATGCTCGATGGCGAAGATCCCTTGCCTCAGCTGCGTTGGCGCAATCCCAGAATGCTGCTAGCAAGCCATGAAACTGAGAGAAAAACAAAAGCCACTACTAAGCCAAACAACCTGGTGAAGAAGTTGGTGACCAAGGACTCAGTCTCGTCCTTAATGTTAGATGTCAGGGACTCCAGGCTGTGGACCCAGCTGCAATTCTTCACTCCGAATTCTTGCAGTTTGTCCAGAATCAACTTCTTCTCCTCAATGGTGCCCGCTTCGTACTCCTACCAAGGAGATCAAGCTGTCAGTTAAGTAGGTGGCCAAGAAACCCACTACAAACTCAAACATGCATGCGGCGGTCCTGCAACACCTTCTGTGCGTCATCCTTCTGGGAGTCACTGGTTTTCTTTGCCTTCACTTGGTATTTTAGCGAAGTGAGAAGCGCGCTCACTGTGCCTCTGGCGTAGCCCAGCTGGCTTGGTGGGGCCCCAGACCCATCATGCTCCATGGGCGCCTTCCCATCTTCCTTTTTGGCAGCTTGGTCTGAGGCCGAGGCATCGCCAGCAGTCTCCAAAACAGGCTCCTTGATCTCACCTCCTTTGCCAGCTGAAGCTTTGGCAGCTGACTTTGCAGCCATAGCTTTGGCAGTCCTCCCCATTTTGGGAGCCATGATCCTTACCTGACCTAAGCTTGAGCCTTCTCAACATTCGACACCCAGAGAAACACTGCCGCGCGCGTGTCTTTATCTTAAACACTCTGGATTGATATTCAAACTATGCGCCCGAGCCTTTTTGTTTTGGCACATTCCAATGCCAAGCTCAGCCTCTGAAACCGTACATCCTTCTGAGATCTTCTAGTTCGTTTCTACCTGGCCCAAAATTATCTCCAGCATTGGGCAGGCTTTGCTGCAAACTACTACTCAGGAGACTTGGCGATGGTACAATGTTCTCAGGCAATCTGTACCAAGGTGTCCTGCTCTCCCAGCCTGACTGATGAAGGCTTACATGACAGATTGTTCCTGCCAAATTGCGCCAGTAGCTTAGCAGCACGGGATCCCCATCAGGCCATACCATGGCTGACAACTGTGGGGATCTGGCTAAAACAAACCAGAATGGCTGCAAACCATCGCCTCACAAGGGAGTGTCAGACAGCAAACTCAATCCTACCTGATTCAAACTTGATAGATTCATTTCAAATGTAGCACTACTGTAATCCTTCAAAATGCAATGTAGTCCAAACTAAAATAAACAACTATATCAAGTCACAACACCATCCATGGGTTGCCTGCACCCACATAATATATTATATTACTCCCACACCCGGAAAAATAATTTTTAACAAGCATTTTTAACAAATTTTTAACTGTTAAAAATTTTGAATTTAAATGGAGTTTCCTTTTAAACTCAAAATTTTTAACAGTTAAAAATGTGTTAAAAAAATGCTTGTTAAAAATTTTCTGTGTGTTGTTGATTTCCTAACCAATACCAAATGCAGTGATCATGGTGCGATCAATATCAATTCAGTGAAGCTGCAAGACTGAGTTGGGATCTTGTAAGAAACTTGGCAAATCACACCAAACAACAATGCACACACTTGACTGCAAGCTGAAAACCATCAATGGGCACACAGCCCCAATGTCTATTAGTGAAGGTGCAGCCAGCCTCCTTCCAAGGAGGATGCCTCCTTCTCAGGAGGCTTGCCATGGCCATGCACACAGACCAAGTCAAGTCAAACCACAGTCTACCAGCACTGCAAGGCGCTTACAACCAGCAACATACTTGAACAGTGGCTACAAGTCTGATATTCTGAGTCTGATATTCTGAGGCCCTGGCTGCATGCGAAGTCCACAAGGATTACATCTGAGTTAAAGGAATTCCTAGCACCTTGCAATGGGTATCAAAGATGCAGACATGCCAAAAAGACAAACAAATGCATCTTTGATCGCAAGTCAATCTAAGACCATACCAATTAAGCCTCCTGCCAAGGAGGTAGTCCTTCTCAAAAAACAAATCCTCCCACCAAGGAGGCCTTTTGTCTGAGGCAGCAGCTGTCCAAGCACGCTACACCCCAGACATGTTTGGCAAGATGCAACAAACATGGCAACTTGACCAGGCAAACAAGTTTGAGCACATCTGCCATGCATTTTCCCATCCGACACGCTCGAAGATTCCACGGTATCGTGATCTGATCTGGCCACTCAAGCATCTGCCTGGTCAGGACAAGCATCTTGCACAAGTATCAAAACCGTAAAAAAAATAAAGGGCCTTGTTCTCCGACGGATCTGCTGCGGGCTTCTCGGGCTTCTTGAAAGTATCGCCTTCCTGCAGGGTAGATTCACACACAAAAAAGGACACTCCCAAAAAAACATGGCAAATCAATGTGATCTCTCAAGGCAGTCCTTGGCCAGCCGGATGGCCTTTGCCACTGCGCTGGGATGGCCAGGCCCAACCCACCTTCCATTCACCTTCAAAGAATCGATCTGAGCTTCCAACCAAGCTTTTCGTTTCCGTCCCTTGTTTTTTTTACCCTTCGCGGGCTCTTCCTCCCAGCCGTGGTCGCGCGCCCAAGCACCTGTCCCCCAGTAGGATCTTTGCCAGCTTTCAAAGGCGCCCTGTTGAGTTTCAACTGCATCCTGCTGAGCCTCAGTGGCCACCACTTCGGGCTGCTTCTCAGCTGCCACCTCTTCGGGCTGCTTCCCAGCTGCAGCAGCTGCAGCAGCTGCAGCCACCACCACCGATTCTTTCTCTGCTGCCGCTCCTTTCCACCAGCACGCCATGGGTGCAGAGTTGCTAGCTCTTTGAAGTCCTCTGCGGATTTCCCAAGCATTTTTGCTTTCTCCTGCGCTTGGTCCCTTCCTTTGGCCTCCTGCAAAGCCCACTTCGCATAGTAGGATTTTGTCTCCAAAGGGACATCGGCACTTTTCTCCATCTTGATGCTGGCGCTCAAGAGCTCGGCTGCGTCGGCTGCCTTTTTTTCCTTCACTGCCCACTGGTACCCTGCCCGGGCCGCATCATCTTCCTCCGCAGGCACCTCTTGCTGCTTCTTCCAAGATGCGGTCTCTTCCTCACTGCTGGCCACCTCTTCGATGACGATTTGTTTCGTCTCGTCCTCCTCCTCCTCCTCCTCCTCCATCTGGGCCCGCTCCTCGGTGAGGCGCCTCTGGTAAACCGCATCACTGAATCCGCTCTGACGCCAGGACTGCGGAGACCAACATTCTTCACTCACTCCCTTCTTCCACATTGCCAAGGAGGGCTGTTGGTGCATGTAGTACTGGCTGCACAACAAATTTGCGCATAAGATCCTCTGAGATACGATTTCGTTTTGCATGCCTTGCAAAACCTGAGGTCTAGCAAGGCCTCGTTGCCCGAATCAGATCCCTTCCAAGCCCGGATCGGGCCTTTCCACTCTTTGCCATAGCCGCTCTTGCTACTTCCAGCCATGACTATGCAAGCTGCCTGACTGTGACCATACCATGCAATCATATGCTGACACGCGTGTCATCCATGCCATATCCATAGCCACTTGAGCTCAAACATATCTGCCAACAAGCGCACATGTGTCTTGCAAGCAACATGGCCAAAGCATCTCAAAACAAAGCAATGAACAAAGAGCTCGCGCGCAACCCTGTCTCCTCCAAGGAGACTGTGGGCCGGCAGACGCTGGCGTCATCACCTGCAGACTAAGTCAGAGCACGCATGCTTGCGGCAACTGCACTTGAACATTTCCTCCTGCCAAGGAGGATGGCCTGCACAAAGAAACTTCCTGAAGGATCGCGGCCTGCACAAAAGAGATCAAGCTATACCCTCCTGCCAAGGAGGTACCTACACCATGCACAAGGCACAAGTGACATCAACAACAGCAAAGCCCTTAAAAAATGGCTGCGGTCCAAACGCTCATGCAATGCACAAACACACAAGGTCATGCAACTCAACAACCCCCAAAAAAATCTTGCAAACAATTCGTGCTGCTCAAAACGTCATGCAAATCCAAAATCAAACGGCATGGTCTGCGCGGGCAGGCCTTTTTGTTGCGATCCAGTCTGTTTGTTCAAATGCAATATGTTCACTCCAAATTTGGCACAGCGTCCTTCTCGTCCCTTAGTGTGTCCTTGATTTTTTCAAGGCACTGAACCCAGCAGTCCGTGATGCTGCTGTGCTTCGACCAGCGGTGCTGCCCCTTGCAGATTTCTGGTTTTTTTTATATAAAAGGCTCTGCCTCTCATGAGAACATCTACACTCACACTAGTGCCCTTAATCACAGCCTTCACGGTGTAGGAGTGCAGGCCTGCGCGTCCGGCAGGCGGCAACGCCTCCTGCGGCATGCCAGCTAGAGGGTACCCGTTCCAAGACTCCAACTCCAGAGGCGCGGCTGCTAGCAACTCCTGGTTGCTCTCGCCGGACTCGCTGGATCCCACAGCAGCCTCTGCCTCCTTTCCAGCAGGCTCTGAGGCTCGCTTCGCCTTTTTCTTGGCCTTTCCGAGGGCGGCCTTGCCGCGCTTGGAGAACTTGAAAGCCGGCGTGCTTTTGCGACTCGACAGCCATGAGATCCTCTTCCTCCAAGTCTTTCACAACCAAAACATCTGAATCTGAGTCCACCTGGTCTGCCTCTCCCACGTCAGAGGCCTCTGCAGCTGCCTCATCGTCAACTGCTGCATTAATGGCAGTGGCTGGAAGACCATACATGCTGAAAACATCGCACGAAGCTGTAGCCTTCCTTTTGAATCGGTATCTTCTGCTTGGCTTGAAGGCTGCGGCGTCACCTGCAGGAAGAGCCTGTGCTGCACCAGGTGTCTCGACGGGCTCGCGTTCTTTCATGGGCTCCATGGCTTTCTGTGGAGTGCCTTGCCCTGTAAGCTGCTTGAGCTTTGACACAAGCCTCCACACACTGGGCGTGAGCTTCTTCCCGGAACTGCTGGACTGCAGCTTGCTCCTCAAATGCTTGAAGCAAGCAGATATGTCCCTTGCCACCGCGCGAGCATCCTTGCCGCTGACGTCATAAGATCTGACCAACCGAACTGTCTCATCCATGATGTCTGCCAGCAAGCCCTCATACTGTGCTATAACATCCTCCACATCCTTTCTGAAAGCGGCCGGGTCCAGGTCTTTGAAGTGAGATCTGAAGCACTTCACCAAGTCTTTGGCACTAGCCGTGTTTCTGGCTCAAGGAGGCGGCATGTTTGCAGCCATGCAAGGGCTCGGTCCACAACTGCGTCTGCACGCAGGCACATGCACGCCACTGCACATACTCAAAAAACACGCTTGAAAAAAACAGAAAAACAACAAATGTACCCGCGCCAAAAAAAAACACGCCCATTCGTCCACAAGTAAAAAAAGATCAGCGTTCAATTAAAATATGGCAAAATTCGAGACATGTCTGTGATATCCATGAACCCTAGAAAATCAAGCTCTCTATTTAAGCATTGTTTTTACAAAAACAAAAATGCTTAATTAAGCGAACAATGCTTAAATAAAAGCTACAATGCTTAATTAAGCACGAAACAATGCTTCCTAAAGCATTTTTGCTTCAAAAAACAAAAACAATGTTTAATTAAGGGAAAAACACTTAATTAAGCATTCACTTTAAGCATTGTTAGCTTAATTAGATATTGTTAAATTATTTAAATACTTTTGGAGGCTCTGGGTACCTCTCCGTTGTCCAGGACCTCCGGGATATTGCCGGTGACAGGTCCTTCAAACATGTTTTCCTTAGGAGTCGTTGCGCGAATTCGGCCCTGGAAAAAGCTTCGGAAACTCTCAAGGTCTGCCGGCCTGCCTCTTCGGGCTTGGTCGGAAGAAGGCGTTGGGACAAAGTTTGCGCAAGTACGTGTCACGCCGTGACACAGTCCGGAAAGCGAGCGAGGCCGGCTGTGAAGTGACCAGTGGCGCCGGTCACTTCGTGAGAAATCCCGTGCTGAAAGCGCGGGCGCAGTGAGCGTGGACGGCTACACCCTGACCCTGGCAGTAACATTGTGCGCACCTACAACTTGACGCCCGGCCGAGAGCTTCTCTTCGCCTGCCGGTACCGGCTCGGCACGGCCTCCAACTTCGTGGTGCACATGTCCGAGGGCGCCTGGAGCACGGCCAAGATGTACTTCACCGTGCCTCCGAACGGAATTGCGAAGCTGCATCGGGGCGCACTTCCAGGCGCCGGGCCTGCCCAACAGACGGCAGGAACGGTGGACGTCTACGGGCTCCAGATCCTGGACGCAACCCTGGAGGCCGGCAACACAGCGGAGGAGGAGGACACGGCGGCCTCGGCCCTGCTGCTAATGCACGAGTTCCTTGACGGAGGGGCCGACGACGTCACGCTGGCCACACTGGGCAAGGTGCTGCTGGAGCCCACGCTCACCACGTTAGGAAATTTTCTGGTGCGCTCCAACAGCCAGAGCTCCGTGGCCTCGGCCAGCTTCACGGTGGAAGGCTTCCAGCTGGAGGGCTACGCCATGACCCTGAGCGCCTTCGCCTGGAACATTGTGACACCTACACCGACGCCGGGGAGACGCTACTTCTTTGGTTGCCGGTACCGGCTGGGCACGGCCTCCAACTTGGTGATGTACGTCAGCGCGGCCGACAACGACTACGTGGGCGTCACCGGCACCTTCCTCGGCACGCCCTCGTGCCGCCAGGCGGAGTCGCGAAGCTGCACTTCGGCGCCTTCGGCGGGTCGATCTCCGGGCTGGCGCAGCAGTCGGCGGGCACGCTGGACCTGTACAGCCTGCAGATCAGGGCCTCGGCCTTCGAGGGAGAGTCGGTCGTGACGGACCTGCTGGCCGACTCACTGGCCCTCACCGGCTCGGCCACGCTGGACGGGCTCACCGCGCAGGGCAACGTGGGATGCGACCAGCTGCCGGGGTGCTCTTCGTGGCCACCACGCCCTCCAGCACGTCGAAGGCGATTGGTCTGCCTTGTTGGAGAGACCCGTGGTCAGGGAGCTCTGCAGCGCTGCGATGCTGCTTCCGTGAGCGGCCACCTGTCCGTCCGTGGTGGCCAGGGCCGCCGCCGTGGCCTTAAATTAATAACAAAATCTGATGTAGATTGACTGTCATTTAAATCACGATAAGCACTGTTGATATATATTTTACGAAATCTCATTATATTAATTAATTAGAAATTTTATAATTTAATTATATATGAAAAAAATATAAATATTATTTAAAAGAAGGAAAATTAAAATCATACAATCCGCTTCATCAAGGTCATAGTGAAATGTATAGAAAAATAGTTAATGAAATTCAACAAGAAAAATCATTATTCAAACCTAAATATAATAATAATTTATCTGACACAGAAGGATTAAGCAAAGCATATACAAATGGTAAAGGTTATTATTTGGATAATAATAAACTATATGTTGCTGGGACATTTGGTAAGTCTAATATTAAATCAAATATTAATGATGCGCTGCTGTCCAGCTTTGAGGCCAGCTCTGCGGTGACCCGGTCGTCCAGGGACTGGATGGCCGCCGCGTTGTTGCCGGAGGCTGCCGTGTAGGTCTGTTACTTGCGCGTAGGGTGTCAGAGCGAGGGCCAGCTGCCCTGCGGCGACGTGCGTGTCGTCAGTCACCTCTCCGTTGTCCAGGACCTCCGGGATGTTGCCGGTGACAGGTCCTTCAAACATGTTTTCCTTAGGAGTCGTTGCGCAAAGTCGGCCCCTGGAAAAAGCTTCTCCGCAAGTACGTGTCACCCCACGACACAGTCCGGAAAGCGAGGCCGGCTCCGCGGCTTCGGTCTTGGAGCGAGGCCGGCTCCGCGGCTTCGGTCTTGGAGCGAGGCCGGCTCCGCGGCTTCGGTCTTGGAGCCCGCAGGCCCGCACCAGGGTTTTTTGGAAGTTCCGTGGCTACAATGATTTGACCGGTGGCGCCGGTCAATCGCAAGACCTGCGCAAGACGCTCGGAATTTGCTGGACAAATCACCG